GCGAGAGCAGGCCAGGCAGCCACAAAAACTCCGACACTGCAGGAAAGCTTCAGCCCTACGGGCACGCACCTTGGTTCACACGCCATCAGGACAGGCACAGTGGTGGGAACCGCGTTAGAAAGCCAGCAGTAGCCCTAAATTATTCCTTAATGGGGATGTAATTTCACATGGAAGAAAATAGAGAGGATGGGTAAGTTTACAGAGGAAAAGAGGAACATAAATCATCAGGATTACCTCAAAAAAAATGGAAGTTGTTTGAACAACGGGACTAACTCTCAACTTCAACAGAGTAAATTATAATCCACTGTCTTTTTAGGCTTGTAGTTTCAAAGCAGTGTTTCGCACAGAGGTAGAAAAGGAAACAAGACAAAACATGATGTAAAAGGGTTCTAAATAAAAATACAGTTATGCGTAAAAGAATTACAGGCTCAAGGTTGTGAACTAGGAATTGTGTAACAGACCAGGGACTTCTACACTGTTGGAACATCCAGTGGGTGGTTTGTCTTCCCATGTTTTAGGACTGCCTGAACTCACCCATTCTAACCAGTCTGCCACTCCAGTTGTGCAAATAACAGCAGCGTTAGAACCACAGCTCCTTAAAAGGCGGCGGTGGAAGAATTTTCTAAATCCGTAACAAATCTGCTCCAAGACAGTCTCTCGTTTCCCCGAGCCCCACCTCAGGTCATGATCCTGCTTCCCTTCTTATCCATGTGTACATCTCCGCGCGCCTACAAAGGCAGCACGCAAGGCTGCAGGCTATCAACAGTACATCGCTTCACGAAGCCAACATGTTCTCTCTAAGGAAACCCATCAGCTCGAGCTCAGCACTTGACTACACGGTTTCTAGACGAGCTGACTTAGCTCCAGCTCAACCCAAGGGCAGCCTGAGCAAGCAGGTGGCTGCTTGCGCCTGTCCCCGGGTCACGCTCACAGATTGCTTGGAAGCTCGAGGCCATTTCCATTCTCTTCAGATCTCTTCTGCAAAATCTCTTCCCATTTCCACCATGTACGTTACCGAGCCCTTCAAGGGTCTTGTTTTGTCTACCAGACCGGGAGTGGCAGCTTTCCACTTCTATTGTTATATTGTACCACTCTTTCTTTCTTACACTTCTGCTATTCCCTGTTTTTTAATTTTTTCCCTTCTCACATTTCTGTCATGCCCAGCGAGGGCCAAGAACTGCGGTATTGCTGTATTTTACAGCATGCAAATATACACACACACAGAGACCACGATAGAAACAGCGTGCATCCTAAATAAACACCGAAATGACTCGTGTAATCAGATCGGTTCGTTTTAGAATACGAACATCTAGAAACAGTATGTTATTCAAATGAGATAGAGATCAGTGTTCCAACCGCAGGATGCAGAGAGGTCATTCCAGCGTCTCCTTCAGCACGCAATACAACGTACGAAGCAAACCAACACTTTTAAACACGGGGTGAAGGCAGGCAGTCTCTTCCGCTCTTCAAAAGAAGAAACACCTGCTTACATGCTTCTGCATGCCAGCTACATTACAAAATGTAGAGCACGGCTTTTAAAAAAATTAGGTTTCGAAGCATACCCAAGTCAAACCCAGATATTTGGACACCAAGAGCATTTGCTCCGTGGACAACCAACAACATTTGTGTCACGTAGGTGGTTTATTGCAAGAATTTACAGATTTCTGGGGCTTTACCACTTCTTCACAAAATAACAGAGCAGTCTTGTTAACAGACACAGGCAGGTTAAACCATATGCTCAGAAGAGCTCTTCTTCACCTGTAAGAAAAATGGAAGCAAATTAAACCCCTTTCGTTTATTTATTTAAAACTTTTTATCTCCTCCAATTTGAATACTTCAACTCATTAATATTCCTTACCCCCTCTCCCCCCCCTTCTCTATCAGGCCTATTTTTCCTTGAAGTTTTACATTTTCAACATGCTTATTTCGCTACAGAAACCTCTTCAGGTACAACGTCTTACATACAGACACTGGTAAGTCATTGCATAAGGTCAAGGCACCATGAAAAAATTAAAACGGTTATTGCAAATGAATTCAATAACCCAGAGATGTTTAAAATAACCACAGAAAATGATGTCCAATGTGGACGTATGCTATCATGGACGTACGTTGCTTAAAATTATTGGTGCTTAACTTTTTCTTCAGACAGATTCCAACTAGCAACGGGCAGTTTCCCAGCCCTTTGGGAAGAGACGTTTCTCTGACCAATGACACTGAACTCAGACTTCCTCATTTGACTCCAAGATCGTCTGTGTTAATTCATTTTAAAACACAATCTAGTTTCTATTTCATAACTTT